CAGTGCCCACAGATGTGATCTGCCCTCTTTCTCTCCAGGTGGGGGGAGGGGGACTTCTCCCCAAGTCCTTTTCTTTAGTCTCCAGCCGGCCAGGGTGATCCTGCAGTCTTCCTCCTATAGCAGCTGAAGTGGGAGGAGGAAGCTGCAGGTGGCCGCCGACAGTGCGATAACTGAAGCCTGCACACAGTAGTGACAGCTGAACAGATTCTTCTCCCCTCGGCCGCTCTGTGGCTGCAGCCGCCGAGGAGAAGAATGTGTGCAGATGTCACTACATGGGTGAGAGAGTTTGGGGTGGAGGAACTTGACTGGCCTGCACAGAGTCCTGACCTCAACCCCATAGAACACCTTTGGGATGAATTATAGAGGAGACTGCGAGCCCGGCCTTCTCCCCCAACATCAGTACCTGACCTCACAAATGGTCCAACACACCATAGACACACTCCTAAACCTTGTGGACGCCTTCCCAGAAGAGTTGAAGCTGTTATAGCGGCAAAGGGCGGAGCCAACTCAATATTGAACCCTACGGACTAAGACTGGGATGCCATTAAGAGTTCATGTGCGTGTAAAGGCGTCCCAATACTTTTGGCAATATAGTGTGTGTATATATAATTGTATGTTTGACCCAGTGTGTTGTACACCCATGCCCTCATGGAGTGGCTAACAAAGAGCCACGAAACATGTTGGTGACGGTCCATAAATACACACTTCTTTTGCAGACCGGCTTTGTAAGCACTTTCTTCCAATACAGGCGCCTCTGCTGACCCCACTCCCGGTTCCTTTTTGGCGCCTGATTCTCCATACCGTGTTCCAAGCCCAGAACATAGCGTGCCCTCTAGTGGCTAGCTGTACGTAAGGCAGCGCAGTCAGCCTCCCGCTTACACTGCCAAATGAAAGGAGCTTCACAACAGCCAAGTTTCTATAACTTTTATTGTGTTTTTGCACTGGGGTCACCAACAAGAACAGCCGCTTTCATAATATACACAGGTTTATTATGTGAACCTTTCAAATCTGTATAACAAATAATATCGATGTTATCTTGTTTACAGGAATATACATCAAGCAAGAGGTTACAGAATTCAGGAGGAGTTCAGGAATCAGTTGAAGACCTTAAAAAAAAAAAATCAATGACTCAGTAGGGGGGAGGCACTAGCCGAGCCGTGCGCATCCGGGGTTATGAGATTACTCTATTAGTCTGCTTTAACACCATAGTGTAAATGATATAAACGAGCAGTAATCCATGGCCAATGACCAGAAATCGACTTTTCTATGCTCGGGCTAAGCTGCCGATAGCTGATTGCCTGCCTTGAGTTACTGCAAAGTATTGCTCTTTGGGCAATGTTATTAAAGTGAACAGTCATGGTTAGGCTTACCCAAGAATCTGCCTCATTCTGGCTTATTATAACTGTGCAGGGTAACTATAAACTATTTATATTTTTTGCTTTACCTTTGCCTTAGAATCACTCTAGTGCTGGGAATCACAACTAAGAGACCCCCCGAGGTCTACCAGGTGCTGCCCTGGTAGACCTCGGAGTGCACATAGCAAATGGGCTGGATTTCCCACAAGGCCAATCAAGGGCCGGCCTTGGGGCAGCAGGGAGTAGAGGGGCAGCAGGGGTGTGGAATTTCTATCTCCCGATGCCCGGGACATGCATTTCCGAGCGCCGGGCGGGTAGTTGTTTTCTACATTTAGCCCTGCTTTGGGCAAGCAGAACTAAATGTACAGCGGGGGAGCCTCCGCTAGTTTTGCACAAGTGATCCCGGCGATGTCGCCAAGATCACTTGTATGCAGCCTGCAGGTCTGCCATTCTCTGTGAGGGGGGGGTTGGTGGGTAGGGGGGCGCATTGAGGAACCTGGCCTTGGGGCAGCAGAGAGAGTAAATCTAGCCCCGCATAGCAATATGAAATAATAGAGCCCTTTAACAAGGGTGTTGTGTTATTCACCAGATGTAAGCAAGCTTGCAAAATGCAAAAGAGGGGAAACAAAATAGTGATCTTGCATAAGCCCAATTGTGAAAACTCCACTGTGACCTTGTTGGAGGCTTATCTAATAGCAGGGTGCAACAAATAAACTGTTCTATCCCATAGCAATTCGTTTTTTTAGCACTGGAAGGATAAGGAGCGAGGGAATCTGGTTGATAACTATGGGCAGCACATTTCTTATTCCAGGCACTTCAACAAGTGAAGACGATAGGTTTGTATAAGCAAAGAAACAGCAGCAGCGCCCCCCCCAACTCTGATATGGTTATAACAATAAATAGAATTAAATAGAATTAACTCATATGTACATAAACGTAGACACTTTGTTTTAGAGGGTCATTTCACCCAGATTTGATATTTCAGTGTGTGGAGATTGCACTACAGAAAGGTCCTTTTGGCATTCCACTGGCACTTGAGTCCAGAGCCTCTTCCATGGGTGGCGTGAAACCTTACCAATGCCCTGGTTGTATATTTCCTTCCCTTTGTACGATGGAGAAGGAGACAAGTGGAGTAGTGAGTGGGAACATTAAAAACTTCAAAGAAACCAAACCAGGGACTACACTATAAGGCCAAATGTATGTGGAGACCCCTCCAAATTATGGAGTTCAGGTGTTTCCAGTGAAGGATCTGTTAATGCTACAACATACAAAGACATTGTAGACAATTGTAGACGTTGTTCTGTTTCAGCCTTGTGGCAACAGTTTGGTGAAGGCCCTTTTCTGTTCCACTATGACTATACCCTGTGACAAAGCCAGCTCCATAAAGACATGGTTCAATTACTTTGATGTGGAGGAACTCAAGTGGTCTGCACAGAGCCCTGACCTCAACCCTACTGAACTCCTTGGGATAAAGACATGGTTCAATTACTTTGATGTGGAGGAACTCAAGTGGTCTGCACAGAGCCCTGACCTCAACCCTACTGAACTTCTTGGGATAAAGACATGGTTCAATTACTTTGATGTGGAGGAACCCAAGTGTTCTCCACAGAGCCTTGACCTCAACCCTATTGAACACCTTGGGATAAAGACATGGTTCAATTACTTTGATGTGGAGGAACTCAAGTGGTCTACACAGAACCTTGACCTCAACCCTATTGAACACCTTGGGATAAAGACATAGTTCAATTACTTTGATGTGGAGGAACTCAAGTGGTCTGCACAGAGCCTTGACCTCAAGGTCTTCTTACCCAACATCAGTATCTGACAATATCTCTTTTGGCTGAATGGACACAAATTCCCCTAGACACACTCCAAATGTGTGTAAAAAGCCTTCTCGGAAGAGTGAAGGCTGCAAATAGAAGAGGGGCAACTCCAAAATAATGGTCATGGTTTAAAATAGGATGTCCATCAAGTTCATATAGACGTGATGGTCAGGTGTCCACTAAAGTTTGGCCATATAGTTAATGTCAGGGAGATCTCACCGCTGGAGACCCCAAGGAGCCAGCAGGTCCAGACCCAGCCAACAACTAAAATACCACTTATGGGTGGTCTCAACCTTTAAAGCCTAACTCCACACAAAAACATATCGGTTTGTTTAGAGTATTGAAAGGTTATATTTTTTACCAGGTTCTGATTGCACTCTAAGACGATGTTTTGGGGGATTTAATCTCACTTTCTGTTCTGGTGATCAAACAGGAAGGGAGAGATCTCCCTCATAGGGACATAGACAGCAACAGAAACCAGAGAGTCCCACCTTTCACCTATTAAGTTAAAAGTAAACATAAGAACTTAAAAAATGTTTAAAGATTTGTTACAGTTTGTGACCTTGTCAGAGAGATTTTGCTCACTTCCTGTCTCGTTGACCAAACAGGAAGTAAGAAAAAAAATCTCCCCAACGGCTACCGAAAAAGTTGTGGCTGGAATTTGATTATTATCCGTATTTGAAATCTCCTGCAGTACATTGGATTGTAAGATGTAGTTTTTCCCTCTATGGGAGTCAGTTGACTTATTTTCAATTCAGTTATACAAAAAAAAAAAATGTCACTTGCAGCTTCGTTATCAGCCTAAAAGTTATCTTATCCAGCAAGTCAGTGCAAGAGACGACACAGTGTGGCCACAACGAGCTACTGTTCATTCTCATCTAACAGCACAAAGGATTGTGGGTAGTGGGGTGGGGGGTACTCAAAAAACTGAGGCGGGCCCACATCCTCTAACACAGCCGTCATCTGGTGGCCCCTGATGGAACCAAAGAGCCAATCCCACCAAATTTTGGAGACCGGTATGAAAAATAAATGCACTTTGAGCATGCACTGGTTTGGGCTATCTCAGTATCTACAGAACAGAAGTAGGTAAGAATCTGCAATGAAAGGTGGCCGCTATGGGGCCCGAGGCACAGTGGGGCCCGGCCAGATGCCGTGCGGGCCGCCTGGGTCTCTATTGCATCCTCTGCTGATGGCTTTCACTGGCGGCTGAAGACGAACACGCCGCTGTTCAGATCACTGACAGTAATGTGTTCCTCTCCACAAAGTCAATAAAAGCAAGCAGCGGCGGTGGAGGAGGTCGGACCCGTTAGTGGAGGCGGGTCCCGTGGTCGACAGCAGGGGAGGAGGTGGGGCCCGGTGACGAAGAAGGAGGCGGGCCCGGTGACGGAGGAGGAGGCGGAGCCCATCAGCCACCGTGGAGGAAGAGGAGGCGGACAGGTAAGGAGTGCGACCAGCCCACCTGAGGGTGACCTTGCAGAGCCCACCATAGAGACTCTATGGTGGGCTCTGCAGGTTCACCCTCAGGTGGGATCTGGAGTGGGCTCTGCAAGGGGTATAACTAGAAATCACGGGGCACCATACAAAATGTTTTCTATGGGGCCCTGTGATTTCTAGTTATGCCCCTGTATGCAAGGCTTCTCTTATGGAGCATGGCCCATTCCAGCCGCATTGTTCTATGACTATAGGTGCTCATTACTGGTACAGATCACCGCTAAAAAACAAAAAATTATGTAATTCTATATAGCTGAGAATGGAAGGACGCTCAGTAATTAGGAGAAGATGTGAACCGGGGCTTCCAATTGTTCACCACCTTATGAATTTTTTTAGCAGATTCTCGCATACAGTTCCGTGATCCTCGGGAATGCACACCATACATGTTTTGTAACTCATTCATCAATCCAGGCTCTTGAGGTTTCTCATTGTTCAGGGGAGGGGGGGGGGGGGGTGGTGTTTGTGCTGTTAGATAAGCGCCCGTCATTTCACCCGGATCTCAGCGTATTCCGTCAGCTCCTCGGGGGAGGTGTAAATGTTCTTAGCATTCCTCTTTGAAAAGTCAATGTTTGCGTACTCAGAGTCCACGGGTTTGGGTTGATGCCTCTTGCTCAGTAGGATCCGTTCTGAAATGCTGAGGAACCGATTCTGGGGACATAGATTAAAAAAACAAAGTCAAAGGTTTAATTAAAGCAGAATTTTTTTCTTTCGGTGTTATTGCCTCTTCTGGTGCCGCGAAAAGAATTAAAACGTTTTGTCCGGAGTTGGGTTTGCTACAAATTATACGTATGATATCTCTATAATGTGTACAACAGTTTGACTTAGCCTGTCCCTTGACTTAGTTCTCATTGTCACTGATGACATCTACCATATGTAAGAGATTTATGGTGTGGTGTCATCAAAAACAAGTATCTGAAGTCTTGGCCAAACAAAAAGTTTCAGATCTAAGAGTTCCCCCAATTTCATTGTCGGAGGATTGTTAGTAAGACTCATTGGAATGTCAACCAATTAAGGTCAACTATATTGTAAAGCGCTGTGCAAACGGTTGGCACTAAATAAATCCTCTATAATAATAATAACTGATCCCTAATCCAGTGATGTGTGGGACTGATGGACATCCTGGGGCTGGTCCATCTTGGAGGTAATTGGTGACCAGCCTAATTTATAAGAGATTTATGGTGTGGTGTCATCAAAAACAAGTATCTGAAGCCTTAGCCAAAAAAAAGTTTCAGATCTAAGAGTTCCCCTAATTTTAGTGTTTAAGGATGGGTAGTAAGACTCATGGGAATGTCAACCAATAAAAGTCAACCGATCCCTAATCCAGTGATGTGTGGGATTGGTGGGCATCCTGGGGATGGTCCATCTTGGAGGTCATTGGTGACCAGCCTAATTTATAAGAGATTTACAGTGAAGGTGTCATCAAAAACAAGTATCTGAAGTCTTGGCCAAACAAAAAGTTTCAGATCTAAGAGTTCCCCTAATTTTAGTGTTTAAGGATGGGTAGTAAGACTCATGGGAATGTCAACCAATAAAAGTCAACCGATCCCTAATCCAGTGATGTGTGGGATTGGTGGAAATCCTGGGGCTGGTCCATCTTGGCGGTCATTGGTGACCAGCCTGATTTTTCGGGCTGGCAGAACATCCTTCCTTAGACTGGAGATGGGAGAAGAATTTATGGACAAGCAAGGGATGGTTCTACCAACCAAGATTTTATACCCAGAGAACCCGTCAACCAATCAAGCAGGAGCATTCCTATGTTCTTCGGCTCCATCTAGTGGTGGGAACATGCATGGCATTCATCCAACATATGGCGTGGTGGAAGATTTATAAGTCAGCCCCTTCACATTCCCCGCCACTAGATAGAGCTGAAGAGCCATCCTATGTTCTTTGGCTCCATCTAGTGGAGGGAGTGTGAATGGCATTCATCCAGCATATGGTGGGGTGGAAGATTTATAAATCAGCCCCTTACTGTTTGCAATTGCTCATGAACTGAACCTCGTTGTAACCATCAAGCTTTCCTTACCTCAATTACGTGTTCAGTAAACAACATTTTGATTAATTTAGTGAGTGCCTCCTCCTCCTCCTCATTCCTCCTCCTCATTCCACCTCTGAATACCTGTCTTCATTTATATTATGTAAACATTTAATTTGGAGCTGATGTCATGCAATGGATGGAATTTTATGACTACGTGTCCTCTGCAGTCATGAGTTATATCATTCCAAAAACAAACATTGAATATTACGGCACCAGGAGTGAGACAGACGATTTTATTTAATCACAGTCTGACAGGACCACAAACAATTCATTGTCATTTAGAACAGGATGACACGTGACACACAGGGACAGACCAAATTGGGAACGTTGCATGCTGTTAGGTAAGAAACAGTAACACGTCCTCTACACATCTGGTGATTCCATTTTCTAAACTGCGCTAGCAAAACGGCCCAGGACACCGTGTCTGGTGGGAGGGGCCGGCAGGGGGCTGTACATAGCTTCCTGAACACATCACAGCACCGTGCCTCAGTACTTTTCTCAAGAGCCCTCAGCTCTGATGCAAGCAGTGGGAGGAGTTATGCAAATATCAAAATGCCTTGATAGATGGATGTCAATCCGGAAGGAGTGGGCGTCCCTAGGCAGGCTGTATTTGGATGCAGACCTCCTAGGTCAGGGGTAGGCAACCTTGGCTCTCCAGCTGTGCTGAAACTACAAATCCCATAAGGCATTGCAAGCCACAGGCATGACTCCCAGAGGCAGAAGCATGATAGGACTTGTAGTTTCAGCACAGCTGGAGAGCCAAGGCTGCCTACCCCTGTCCTAGGTAATGTCCACATGTGATGCTGAGCTTCCATGATTGACAGAACTAAAATTCAATTAGTGAAAGAGGTGGGGCCACTGACAGTCAGGCTGGGGAGGAAAGTACTATATGATGGTGGATGTCCTCCAGCCAGGGAATGAGGAGGGCTCTATCTGACCTGCTGCAGCTTCTTTTGCACATTGTGAGGAGTTCACAGTGTGCAGCGACATCAGAGGAAGCAATTAAACCTCTGCAGATGAGTTCACACACCTTGAGCACCCATAAGAGGCTGATGATTGTGAATTGTGATTGGCTGTTGTTGTTATGACATCACACAGACGGTCGGGTACTCACCTGCCGTGTCATTTTACTTCCAGCGGGCTGATCTCCCCTGACTATTAAAGAGAAGGATTAGTAAATGGCAGGTGACGTCCGGAGACATTAGCAGATAGTACATGATGATATTAATACATGGCATATGACGATTCCTGAAACTACATGAGAATTGTTACAAAGTCTGCTGCCAGCGCACATGAGTGAAATGTTTTGGTGAAATGGTTAATTTCCCCAGTAAAGATAAGGGGTGTAACCAGGGCCGATGCTACCATTAGGCAAACTAGGCAGCCGCCTAAGGCGAACTGCTACCTAGGGCGCAGCCACGACCACTCATCCCCCATGGCGCCCCCCCGCCATCTTTTTCAAACCCAATAGCAGGCTGGCTATTGCCCCTGCCCACTGAGCAGAGGAGCGGAACTCAGAGACAACTTTCTCTCTCACGTCCGCTCCTCTGCTCAGTGAATGGGGTTTCAATTTCAAATTAAAACAGCCAATAGCAGTCTGGCTATTGCTCCCAGTTGCTTACATGCCTGCGGAAGCTAGCTGGCAGGAGAATGGGGCCGCAGGGAGGTGGGGGGTACGGTGGTTGTGCCGCGGGAGGGGGGCTGGGGGGTACTGGTCTTGCCTAGGGCGCAAAATAGTCTAGCACCTGCCCTGGGTGCAACATGTTCATCCCACCCCCGAGGTCTTAAAGCTGAACTCCAGGAGAAAAAACTTTCATTTAAATAGCCACATGGGATATAAATCCGCACTGTGTGCACCAGATGCCTTTCCAAGCTTAGTCATTACCTTGTAAAAGTAGCACTGTGCTATACATAGCCGGCACAGAGCTGTGGGAGGGACCCAGCAGGCTCCACCCACTACAGGCTGCCTGCAGAAAACTGAATCAGATGTAATTGCTTATTACTAGACGCGTGCGATTCGTTTCATTCCGAATCAACATCCGAATTTCTGAATGCCAATGCATCCGAATGTGTCCGAATTTCGTGTAAAAACTAAACTGAATGGGACATGTGACTTTTCTGGTCAATCAGATGTGTTTTTCGGTTTAATGCATCCGAATGGGTCTGAACACGAATTTTCATTACGGCAACATGGGAGCCATCTGATTGGCCAGAAAAGTCACATGCCGTAACGAAAATTCGAGTTGAGTATATACATATAATGCTAAAGCTGAGGCTCACAGACCCGTATGGTTTTTGGGAGCTCCCAAATGCAATTCGGAAATTCGATTTCCGAATGCCGTTTGGGGTCTGGGATCCTCAGCCTTAGTAATATATGTATATGGCTACCAGACCCCAATGGCATTTAGGATCCGAATTTCCGAATTGCATTTGGGAGCTCCCAAAAACCATTTAGGTCTGGGAGCCTCAGCCTTAGTAATATATGTATATGGCTCCCAAATCCGAATGGCATTCAGGAGCTCCCAAATGCAATTCGGAAATTAGGATCCCAGATGCCATTCGGATCTGGGAGCCGTGTACATATATTACTAAAGCTGAGGATCCCAGACCCAAATGGCATTTTCGGAAATTCGGATCCCGAATACCATTCCGGTCTAGGAGTTTCAGCTTTAGTATTAATATCTGTTTGCGGTTTTCTGTTGTATTCGCAACGAATATTCGTAAACTCATCCGAAGCCAACCAAAATTTGGATTTCGTCCGAATCCGAAACCCGAACCGAATTAACGAAATATCCGAAAATTTTTCGGCAGCTTACATGTCTACTTATAACCGCACACAGGGGAATCGACAATCCGGAGGTCTGGCATCCGCCCTACAATACAGGTAACTTCAAGGTCAAGTTCTCCTTAACAGCCTCCCTATTGGCAGCTGTCCCCCATCCCAGGGTATCATTACCCCACTGAACCTGCTTCTAAGGCCTCATTCACACTAGTAACGGCCGGCACGTACAGCTCTGTGCTGCGTACATGGCCACATCGGGCAGCTCCCGGTAAGGACAGGTGCTGCATGTGATTAGTACGCAGCCCCCCCGTCCTTCTCTATGGGAGTACATGGCCGTACGCTGTACATGTACAGGTCCGTACTGGTGCGTGTGTCCCGGCTCGGACGCAGACAGGATCCCTCCTGTCAGCATACGAGTATGTTCATCCGCACCCGCACGGACCTGCACTTGGGGTGAGTGTGGAGCAGCGTACGGCCATGTACTCCCATAGAGAAGGACAGGGGCTGCGTACTAATCACATGCAACACCTGTCCTTCCATGGAGCTGCCCGATACGGCCGTGCACGCATCACGGAGCTGTACGTGCCGGCCGTTTCTAGTGTGAATGAGGCCTAACAGCTTCCACCAAAACCATGAGATTGAAGCCATTGGTGGCAGGTTGCCTGGATCTGTTCGGTCGTTTTTGCAATCAAGGCTGCTTGAAATTGTCTGAATGTGTCCATGTGGTCAGGTAGCTTTAGATCTTAGATCTAGATAGGTTTGCAGTGGAACCCCCAACAATGCAGCTACTCTACTGCTCCTCCCTTTATGGGTGAGGGTCTTATGGCAGACAACTTAAAGGAGAACTATGAGGTCAGTGCTTTTCACTCACCTCATAGTTCTAGCCGACCTGTGACAATGAGACTGTCACAGGTCGGCTCAGTAGATCGGGAAGTGAGTTGCACAATTGTCGGGATCCGCTTCAGCTGCGGCGTCTCAGTATATAGTGAGCTGTAGCTCGCGGTATACTAGGGTGATGGGAGGACGCTAGTTTGTGTCCTCCCGTTACCCTAAGGAGAACTATGGGGAAAAACCCTGACCCCATAGTTCTCCTTTAAAACCAAAGCTCAATTTTAAAATAAGTGAAATTAAAACTTTAATGACATATTTTCAGCACGGTAACAGACAGAAAAGAATAATAGTATTACCTCTATTTTTCCTAAATGTTTCTTCTTCGGCGCATCTCCGCTGTATGACGGCGAAGTCTCTGTCTGGATGAAACTGGAACTTTCAGTCATGGGCTTTCTACTCCAGAAAAAAAAAAAAGATAGACGCAGCTAGCATAACTACCTAAATAAGTCAAGGCAACCGGACTTGTATTTTTCTTGAAGATGTTTCGCTGGTCATCCGACTAGCTTTCTCAATTCTGAATTGAGAAAGCTAGTCAGATGACCAGCAAAACATCTTCAAGTTAAATACAGCAAGTTCGGTTGGCTTGATTTATTTTTTACAGATATACCATGACCTGGATGAATGAAAACCTTCAGATATGTCTTTATATTAGCTTCCCGGAACGGCCAGCAAATTAGCACTCAGCACTTAGGAAAAAGAACAGAGCCTCTATGAAGGTTTTTGTTTTTTTGGGGGGGTTATCCCTCATTTCCTGTCCATATGAAAATATTGTCACTGTGCCACAAAGTAAAGGGAAAGCCCCAATGAACACACATGCTACATGGGGATACAAACGAAACATTCAGCTCTGGCTACAGTACTCTTGAATTCGGAGCCGTTCAGCATTCTCTTTTCACCACAAAATGTCCAGTTTAAATGACATCCAGCGTCATTCAACCCAGAACACTGAGGACAGACTGTGAGTGTAGGATGTCATGGCCCCTCCCTCTGAAGGGGTAGCACCATGGGGCCCTGCACTCAATGTGTAATGGTGCGGAGAGAGACACTGCCCACTGTTGGGTTAGGACCAAAGAGGAAGTTGACCTTGAAGCATCACATGACTATCCTAAAGACTTCAAAAATAATAAAACCCCTTAATTACTGCTCAGGGGGCATTCGGGGAGAGGGGTTTGTACTGGAGGAGTTGGCCTTTATTTGGTGGGTTTTTTTAATATCTGTTCAGAGTATAGCTGGTAGTAGTTGGTCACATTCAACTGGACTTCTTCTTCTGCAATGTTGAAGACGTTTTCCAAGTCACATGTTCGGTTCCAGTGAGTGTGAGGAACATATGTCAGCATCCCTGAACAAGAGCGGGGGTCTTCAACACCATCTGTCACCCACATATAATGGCATTTTACCATCTCTACTCCAGCCGTTTGACAACAATCCGCACCTTCAGCCATGTGAATCAAATGATTAACACATACGCAGACTCCCGGACACGAAGCATGGATTATGTAAGCAGAACATGGTGGATCCAAAACGTTCACACTTCCCGTCCTGTTCTTGGACAATCAACATCTGCCTTGTAATCATTCTATGGTGATCAGATGAAGGTGACTGATACCTGACACCAAGAATGGGAATGTAACTAGATCAGATGGTTCCACAACATTCACTTCTTCCATCCTGTTCTTGGACAATCAGCATCTGCCTTGAACACATTCCTTGGTGATTGGATGAAGGTGACTGTACTACCTGTGTGGATGTACACTGAGTGGCCAGATTATTATGACCACCCCATCAGTACTTGGTTGGGCCGCCTCGTGACTCCACGAGATGATGAAAGGTGATGCGAGGAATCTGACCCTGCACTGTTGCCCTTCTGTTGTCTTGTACCAGTCTTGCCCCTCCCCCGTTCTGCCCTAACATTGACTAGTCGCTGACAGCCACAATTCGCACGTTCAGACCCAGATTTTCCGCTGACAGTCCGGTCTTTAAACACTTTAACAACAGCTGCTCTTGAACATGTAAAGAATTCTGCTGTTTTGCTGATACTCGCTCCATGGCTCAGAGCGCCAACAATCATCCCACATTCAAAGGCTGTTAAATCGCGTTGTTTCCCCGTATCTTCAGAAACAAATCACTTCTACCGGCGTGATAAACAACCCACTTCCCTATTTATAATGGTCTGGCCCTCTAGCAACTTCAGCGCCAAATTATAGCTAATTTGCCTACAAACGTCAGGTGGTCATAATAATCTGGTCACTCAGTGTATATGTTGAGGTATGTTCCTGCCACCAACGATGGATGATGTAACTAGATCAGGTGGTTTCACAACATTCACTCCTTCCATCCTGTTCTTGGACAATCAAAATTTACCTGGAACACATTGCATGGAGATTGGATAAAGGTGACTGTGATATCTGTGTGGCTATAAATGTCAGGTTATGTTCCTGCCACCAAAGATGAGATTATGTAACCAGAACATGGTGGTTCCACAACGTTCACACCTCCCATCCTGTTCTTGGACAATCAACATCTGCTTTGACACCTTTTATGGTGATTGGATGAAGGTCTCTGGGTTACCCGTGTGGATATAATTGCTGGGTATCTTCCTGACACTCATTAGAACTGAAGAAGTGGCGTGTAGAATCTACAAAAGGTCTTCAACGTTACAGAACAAGTCCAGTTGAATGTGACCAACTACTTCTAGCTACACCATGACCTGGATGAATGAGAACCTTCATAGATTGCTTGGGTCTTAGTTCTGACTTAAGATGTACATTGTCCAATTGGTTAAACCAGAGTACCCCCATCTGCCATAAAGATTTATGTATGTAGAGAGCAAGGCCTCAGTATGATAATACTTGGTTGCTGCATTGGATCAAATGGCTTGTCCCAGATATCTGGCACCTCTTATCACTCTACACAAGACAGGGATGTTTTGTGGTTCCTGCTCATTTTTAGATTCCATCACTTGACCCAAAGCCAAAAAAAACATTCCTTACTTTTCTCTGGTTTTAATGAAGTAGCCACCGACCGCGACAAGGATGACGAAAACCACCACGGCTCCTACAGGACCGATCTTAGCCCAGAGCATGCTGTCTGCAGGAGGAAAGAAAAAGCCACAAAGCAGATGTATTAGATGTTGGCGGGTTGTGGAGCTCAACAAGCTGTGATATGCATGCTGGGATGCTCAGCGCACACAGGAACGCAAACCTCCAGCGCGTGCTGCATTTCACAGCCACAAATCTGAGCATATTCAACATCGCCCAAAGTGCGGCACTCTATAGCGGTATTCATTCTAGAGGTTAGACTATTCATTTACTCTAGAATGAACTTACGTGTGTACACCAATACACGCAAGAGTACGCTCCTGTCTGAATTCATTGTTTTACGTCCCTGAACAGTGCTCTAGATCAGCCTTTTTAAACCAGGGGGCCTTCTGGCTTCCTCAGGATGCTTTGAAATTTTTGCTGCATCCCTTTCCTTGGTGCAGATGGACCGTCAGTACCATGAAAATTAATGATACTAATCTAGGGAGGGGCGGGATCTTCAGAAAAGGATGGTAGTGCGCCTCCACCCAGGTCTAATCACCTCTTGCTCTCTGCTCTGTGATGGTAGGACTTGTGAAGGGGGCTTCTGATGTGCAGGGGCTCTAATGTGAAAGGGGGGGCTCTGATGTGAAAGGGGGGGCTCTGATGTGAAAGAGGGAGCACTGATGTTAAGGGGGGGGCTGTGATGTGAAAGGGGTGACTCAGATGTGAAGAGGGGGGTCTGATTTGAAAGGTGGGACTCTAATGTGAAAGAGGGGGCTCTAATGTGAAGGGGGGCTCTGATGTGAAAGGGGGGACTCAGATGTGAAGGGAGCAGGCTTTGATGTGAAAGAAGGACTCTGATGTAAAAGGGGCGACTCTGATGTGAAAGAGGGGGACTCTAATGTGAAAGAAGGGACTTTGATGTGAAGGGGGAGCTCTGATGTGAAAGAGGGGGACTCTGATGTTAAAGAGAGGGAATCTGATGTGAAGGGGGAGCTCTGATGTGAAAGAGGGGTCTCTGATGTGAAGGGAGCAGCCAGGCTTTGTTATGAAGGGTAGCTTCTAGTGTAAGAGGAGGGTCTCCTGATGTAAAGGATTACCCTGATGTGAAAGAGGAGGCTCTGATGTAAAGGTGGCTCCTGATTTGAAGTGGGGGCTCTATTGTGAAGGTTGAACCCTGTGTTTTGTGATTTTTTTGTTTTTGCATTGAGTCCCACCCTTAAAATCCATACCAGACTCTATTCAAGATAAAGGTATGGATTGTAAAGGGGACACATGTCGTTTTTTACATTTCTGCATTAACATTTTTACATGTTTTTGCATACTTTTAAAGGGCGGTGTTATTATTGAAAGGGTGAGAGACGCTCCTCTAGATCTAGACGCCACAATCTGCATGGACACATTGGCTATTCTAGAGTCATACGGATCTAAGGAGGGGCGATTTCTGTGTGGGGCCTGGGGATGGGAGGGGGCCCCATTAGGTTGCAAAAGTAGGAGTAGTTGCAGTTGACGACAACTCTAATCCCCTGCAAAGTCTACAGTGTAAAGATGACTTCAGATGCACAAGAGGAGTCTTTGGGATCTTGGCATCATGTGTATGAAAACAAAATGGTGCAGCTCCAGTTTTTGTTCCGTTGCCATGCGTTGGTAGCCCAATTGAAATAGACAGGCTGTCTTAAAGCAACGCACTTTCATGCAGGTAGGCATCACGATAGAATGGGATATGAACGGGTCTTTAAACTTTTATATAAATGCTGCATTTTAAGGCTTTAATAGAAGAAAGGGTTAAATATCACGCGGCTTGTTAAATACGATCCTAAGCCAACGCGGGACCAAGAAATGTCCAATTCAATGTCATACTGGTCATGAGATGTGTTCATGGACTAATGCGTTAATATGAAACCCAACATCATCCTAGCTGCATATGGGACATGACTGCCACCTGGTGGAGGAAATCCTTTCTGCACCTTGGCAAGGATTGTATCTGTGTATACCAGGCTCAGGGGAACTCATCTGAGAGCGCCAACTTAACCCCTGAGCGTCTGTAATTTATAGATTGAGAATATGAATTAGCATTGGCTGTGAACAACTACTACTGCTAGTTCTGTGACCGCACTGACAGGGGACTGACGGTCGGTTCCCAATCATGTGGTCAGCGGGGCAGCTTTTCATGTTGATTACTTGAAGTCGTTTGCAAGTTTGTTCGCAAAGAATATTCTTTCGAAAGGTCACGGTGCCTCCTCTCTCTGTGCAGCAGCTTCAGACAAGCAGTGAGAGAGAGATACAATGTTACAAAGTATATAAAGCAAGGACATTCAGGGCCCATTCACACCATTGAGCTGTGTTAGGGCGCATGATTGAATGAACGGACAGCCTAATGCACCATTCGTTGTTGGCTCTATATAAATCCTGTATAATAATAATAATAATAATAGTAATAATAATTTTTGATTTTTTTGAAGCCCGTGGAACGTGCGTCTAAACAAACTTCCCCCTGTGAACAAAAAAAGTGAACCGTGAAATCACAGCACACAAAAAACGTGCACAAGGGTGCAAGGTCCTTCCTAAGAAGGGACCCATTTCCCGACCCCCCGGGGCGCAAGGCTCCTGACAGGGGTTGAGATACTATGGTCCACCAACCCGAAGGCCGGTGGACCTTTCCTTTGGGGACCTGCCGAAACAGGTCCCTCACAGTACTTGGCAGGTGGGCTCTCCCGAAGAGAGACCCACCTCCTGGGTGGGAGGAGACAGAGAACCCCATAGGAGGCACAGAATCTCCTCCCAGCGTCAGGAATAGGCCCCGAAGAAACCTGCACCATCAGCATCTGTGGGTCAATGCCAAAAAAAGGCCAATCGTGTCGTGCATATAGTGCTTAAATAATAAAGTGCCAGTGCACCACGCTGACAGGCCCTAGGGGCCGGGTGCAAAAAAATTGCCCCGGACTAGCCATAAGGCCTGTCCAAGAGGCGTTGTGCAGAAAAAATGCAATGTGGTGTGTGACCAAGTGCATCAGTGAGTCAGTGAGGGTAGGACCCTAACCCCTGTGACTTCCTGAGCACCCCTGGGACGCCACCCCCAGGGGGCACAACACCACGGGCTTCTGCCGCCCCCAGCCCTCCAGCCTCGATCAAGTTTCGGATCTGCCCATTATCAGGAGTCTAGAGCACCTTACAGAGGCTCGACACCAAGCGCACCCATTAACGAAGAGTCGTTAACCCGGGGTCCGCAGCCTCCTCCAGTACTCAGACAATTACACAGGCAATTGGCTACCTGTGCATCTTTGACTGATAAGAACAGATACTACACTTGATCTTAGCCAAAAGGCCGAGAAGCGATGCGATAATAGTAATAATAATAATGATGATGACAATAATATTAATAATGATGATAATAATAATCATAATAATGATTATAATAATAATCATTCTCTATGCTATGCAGGCAGATCATGGCTGGTGGGAGGGGACGGCAGGGTGCTGTGCATAGCTTCCTGAAAACATGACAGCGCCCTGCCACAGTACTCCTCTCTGCCTTGATGTAAGCTATGGGAGGAGTCAGTGGTGCAACTATAGCCATAGCAGCCCAGACGGCTGCTATGGGGCCTGGGGATGGGAGAGGGCCCCATTAGGTTGCAAAAGTAGGAGTGGTTGCAGTTGACGACAACTCTAATCCCCTGCAAAGTCTACAGTGTAAAGATGACTTCAGATGCACAAGGAGTCTTTGGGATCTTGGCATCATTACTCACAGCTTTAGAAAAAAAGGTCATCGGGCCCCCCCCCATTACATTTTTGCTATGGGACCCCGTGATCTGTAGTTATGGCCCTGGGAGGAGTCATGCAAATATCAAAATGCCTTGATGGGTAGATGTCAGTCTTGAGGAGTGGGCATGCCTAGGCAGGTTCAATTTGCATGTAGGCCACCCTAGGTAACACCCACATGTGATGCTGAGCCTCCATGATCGAAAGAACTGAAATCCAATGAATGAAAGGGGCGGGCCAGAGACAGTTAGGCTTGGAGGGGGAGGCTAGATGATGCTGGATGTCATCCAGCCAGGAAATGAGGCGGAGCTCTATCTAACTTGCTGCAGCTTCTAATGCACATTGTGAGATGCTCGCAGTGTGCAGTGACATCAGAGGAAGCAATTTCCGTCCAGGAGAGGAGCCGGTACAACTGTGCAAGACTGATGGGAAGGACGGAGCTCAGCTTTATCTCTGCTTCACTGAATCATTAGTGGCGCATAGGGACTGCTTATATCATCAGCACTGCCGCCACTTACCGGAGTCCTGGAACAGGAGCTCGTGGACCTTCTTGCCGTACAGGTTGCTGGCAGAGCACAGGACAACTTTCGGAAGCTCCGCCTCTTTCTGCAGCGTCAGGATGCTGCTCACCATGTAGCCGCTTCTCTGGGAGTGGACGAACTCGGCGTTCAGCTCGCTCACTGTGAAGTTCTTTTCGGGGATCTCGAACATGATATACGGGTCGGGGTTGGACTTGACCGTGCACATGCACTGGACGTTGTCCTTCGTCACCGTGCACTTCGATTCGGCTAAAACTAACGGCGAGACTGCGAAAGACAAAAAATGGTTTTATTTCGACCGAAACTCCAGATTGGTTGAGAAATAATCCTCAGACCTCTCCGGGTCCATTATATACATTGTAGGTGCTGTCAATATTCAATAATAGTGCCAATGCACCAACGTGAGTGCTAAGTGGGAGGGTCTGCTGCTGTCATCACATGACATGACTCTGACCAGCATACCGTTCAACACTCAGCCCTCTTCCACAGCCTCACTAAAGACAGGACCTTGTGGGAGATGCTTGTAACTCTACTGCAAGCTCTGTGCTGCTTTTTGGGCAAAGCTGTGAGTCAATGACAGGAGCAGTGGGGATGAGAATGTCGAGAAGTTCTATCCACAAACTGTGTACGGTTGTATCTAAGCACCCATCTTCAGTGGCCAGAAATATGAGACTGTCTGAGCTGCAGAGTATGAAATGCTAAAATAGCCTTTTCTTGCTCCGCCCCCCCCCTTCAGAAGCACTTACATACAACGGTGAGGTTGAAGGAGCTGTTGCTGTGTCCGTATTGATTCTCGGCCAGGCACCAATACTCCCCGTCGTGCTCGTGGGTGACGGACGGGATCTCCAGGACCAGCTCATTCTCGAAGATGGCGGAATTGATGATCTGCTTATCTTTGACGATGGAGAGGATGGGGTCGGGGTTCCCCTGCGTGTTGCAAAATATGGTGACCGCCTCGCCTTCAACTGCGACTAGCGATGAATTTACTGAAGGCTTCCACGGGGCATCTGGAAAACAGTACATTCAGACTGTTAAAAGGGTTACATTGGCTAACTGTGATCCCTACTCCTGTTTCACCTTATAATAGTAAACATCCTGCCAGAGCAGACACCACTACTGCCTAAGAGCAGACACCACTACTGCCTAAGAGAAGACACCTCTACTGCCTAAGAGAAGACACCTCTACAGCCTAGGAGAAGACACCTCTACTGCCTAACAGAAGACATCTCTACTGCCTAAGAGAAGACACCTCTACTGCCTAACAGAAGACACCTCTACTGCCTAGGAGAAGACACCTCTACTGCCTAGGAGAAGACACCTCTACTGCCTAAGAGAAGACACCTCTACTGCCTAACAGAAGACACCTCTACTGCCTAAGAGAAGACACCTCTACTGCCTAACAGAGGACATCTCTACTGCCTAAGAGCAGACACCACTACTGCCTAAGAGAAGACACCTCTACTGCCTAGGAGAAGACACCTCTACTGGCTAACAGAAGGCACCTCTACTGCCTAAGAGAAGACACCTCTACTGCCTAACAGAAGACACCTCTACTGCCTAAGAGAAGACACCTCTACTGCCTAACAGAAGACATCTCTACTGCCTAACAGAAGACACCTCTACTGCCTAACAGAAGATATCTCTACTGCCTAAGAGAAGACACCTCTACTGCCTAACAGAAGACACCTCTACTGCCTAAGAGAAGACACCTCTACTGCCTAACAGAAGACATCTCTACTGCCTAACAGAAGACACCTCTACTGCCTAACAGAAGACACCTCTACTGCCTAACAGAAGACACCTCTACTGCCTAACAGAAAACATCTCTACTGCCTAACAGAAGACATCTCTACTGCCTAACAGAAGACACCTCTACTGCCTAACAGAAGACATCTCTACTGCCTAACAGAAGACACCTCTACTGCCTAACAGAAGACACCTCTACTGCCTAACTGAAGACACTTCTACTGCCTAGAAGTTGCCACCCCTTTTGCCTATGGGAAGACATCTCTAATGCTAGGAGCAGACGCCTCTACTGCCCAGGAGCTGACATCACAGCCTCAGGAGAAGATCAACCCATTCAAGAAATTCTAACTCCATTGTTTTCAGTCACACCCCTGCTTAGCCCCAGAGTTATAAAATTATAGTGACAGAGATCTTCCTTCTTGTTAACTTACACATGACGGCCAGCCCCATGGACTTGTTGGTCCTCCCATAGTCGTTCTCCGCAGCGCACAAGTACACGCCATCATGATTGTAGGTCACGTACTCCAGCTCTAGGGTGAGGTTCCCCGTGAAGTCTTCCTTTAACAGCATATCATCCTTAAACCACATGACACGGGACGTGGGGTTACTATCGACTACGCAGACAAACGCCAACTGTGTGCCTTCTGTGGTTTCCGTGGAAGAGTTTATATCGATGATGCGCGGTGCGTCTGTAACAGACAGAAACGAACATACCCTCATGTTATATTAGGGAAACCAGGAACATGTTTGAATACCAGCTCTAGATAAATCTTGAACAGAATGGGATAAGGGTTAGAATTTTGGGATATGTCTTCATTGCTTTCTGCCCCCTCTATAAGGAATAAGGTACATTGAAGGCATGCTGTGGCCTCTTATTCATTATCATTGCATGGTATTTTTAGCTGCTGAATCAGAGCCTCTGTTGGCCATTTACAGCAAGACACTTGGCCGACTCACATTTTACATCCATTGTCACAAATCCCTTATACTCCAGTTCTTTGTCCGGATAGGTGACTTTGCAGCCGAGGCGCTGACCATTGTTCTTATGGCTCGGAAGGAATTTCAGGATGGATATCTGCTTCCAAGACATATTGTTCTCCTCCAGGCGGACGTACACCATGTGATGCTCCAGCCCCTCGATGTCCATCCACGTCACGCTGGGCTTCATGTCGGGGCAGTTGTCATCCACCAAGCATGTGATCTCCGTCTCGGAGCCTGAGATTATTTCCTGAGGCTGCACCACAAAGGGCTCATCTGGAAGCAAAGTGGACACCAACAGGATGAAAAACGTCAATCTTACATTGTGCAACCCAATGAGTTTATCACTCAGATACAGATACAGGTGCCCATTAGACAACTGCAATTTGTAGACTAATGTTCCCGGCACAGTTCCTCATACCGGAAGAACGTTCTTTTATGCTGCAGCTGTGAACTAGAAACACGCACCTGCGGACCTAGTTCTGAGACCAGTAGGGAAGCTAGACAATCTGTCACCCAGGGCAAGGGTGGCCCAGAGTTGTCCCCACCCCAAGGGCTTAACTGTAACACAGGAAAAATCAGGTCTTCAGCATTGCCAGCCAAGGCTTTGCTGTGGGGCAGAGCTGTTGAAATATCAGAAATGGATGCACAGAATTTCATATCATGTAGCAGGTAGCTGCTTGCCTTGAGATCATCTTATAGAAGTCAATGTAAAGCATGTTAGTCATAGAGTTATGGCCAAGTTAGCCAACGAATATGACCATGCTACATTTGGCCATGGCATCTAAGCTTTACCGGCCACTGGTCACGAATGGGCTAACCATGGGAAGCAGAGACACTTACCCAGTATGTAAAGGTTGGCGTGCTCGGAGTAGGTGTACTGGTTATATCCCCCCAGGTCCGCCCGGAAGTAGTACTTTCCCTGCAGCTCACTGCTGACTCGGTCAATCTGTACGGAGCAGTTGGACTCCTGGAGGTCCCCGATCATCTTTGTCCGTCCCATGTAGATCTCGTGCGCCGTGTTTGTCTTGGTTTTGAAGACCACGGGAGGGAAGTTCTTGGGGTACGGACTGTTAAAGTACCAGATGCCGTGGACCACCGATGGCCGGATGTCTTCTGGATAGTTGAAGCTGCATGGGATGGCTACGCAAGTGTCTTTAAAAGCAGAAATGGACGTCGGCATCCAAGCCGCCCAATGTCTACTCCATGCGCCTAGAAGAGAGGTCATCATAGGGTGTAAAGAGAATCTGTCACTCAACCAATGATTATAAACGTTTGCTGGATGTGATTTTTCCCCAGACAAGACAAGCTGAGATTATTCTACAGGGAAAAATTCTGGCGAATCAAAACCAAACTTACCAATTGAACCAGTGCAACTGTTTCTGAAAACATCACAGCACCCTGTCTCAGCAGTCCGCTCAAAAGCCCTCAGCCTTAATGCATGCCGTGGGTTGGCTCTTGGGAGGAGTTATGTAAATATCAAAATGCCTGGATGGGTGGAGGTCAGCCTTGAGGAGTGGGCGGACCCAGACAGGCTGTAGTTGCATGCAGACATGTGATCATGAGCCTCCATGATGAAAAGAACAGAAATCGAATGAATGAAAGGGGCGGGGTCAGGGACAGTTAGGCTGGGAGGAAAGACTCGATGATGCTGGACGTCCTCCAGCCAAGAAATTAAGTGGAGTCTACCTGACTTGCTGCAGCTTCTACTGCTCATTGTGAGAAGCTCACAGTGTGCAGTGACATCAGAGGAAGCCATTTCAGTCCAGGAGAGTAGCCGATACAATTGTGCAAGACTGAAGGGGAAGGGGGGTCAGATTAAGACAACTTTAGCCTGAAGAGAATAAAATCTCTATCTGGATGGGGTTTGTGTTGTGTCCCGGTTGCAGAATGTTTTTACCTTCTATGAGAATGAAAAGTAAAGGTAACGACTTCCACCTCCATTCCATCTTCCCCCGGAATTCCAAATCTGTTCACTGCAATAAAACAGCAACATATAAGAAACATTAGAGACGAGACAACGGAGAGACTGCGGGCTCAGGTCACATAGCTACACACAAGAATATGATGCTATAGTTTAGTCATGTGACCGTCATTTCCAAACCTCATTGGACTCCGCTTAAAGTAAGTGTCATTTGTTTGAGTCCTTAATATTGTGTGTTCGTATTGTGAACTAAACCCACAATGTGCAATTTTCAAAAAAAGCTATGATCATTGAGGAAGGAAGGAAAACAAAGGAAAGGAAACGAATAGAAATGAAAGAGGAAAGGAAAGGGGAAAGGGAAAGAAAGAGGAAAGGAAAGCAAAGGAAAGAAAAGAAAAGAGGAAAAGAAATAGGAAAAGAAAGGGGAAAGGAAGAAGGAAAGGAAAGAGGAAATGAAAGAGCAAAGGAAAGGGGAAATGAAAGGGGGAAGGAAAGAGGAAAAGAAAGGAAAGAGGAAAGGAAAAGAAAGGGGAAGGAAAAAGGAAAGAGGACAGGAAAGGAGAGGAGAGGAAAGAAAAGAGGAAAGGAAAAGAAAGAGGAAAGGAAAAGAAAGAGGAAAGGAAAGAAAAGAGGAAAGGAAAGAGGAAAAGTAAGAGGAAAGGAAAGTAGAAAGGAAATGGGAAAGGAGAGAGGAAAGAAAAGGGAAGGAGAGGAAAGGAAGAAAAGAGGAAAGGAAAGCAAAGAAAAAAGATGCAGGCAGGAAGGAGGAAATAAAATTAAAAACATAAGGGCGACAATATACAACATCTTTTTTTAATAATAATAATGAAATGAAATAAATCATAATAATCAAAAAAGAAACATAGACAGTGTTTCCTCACATTGGTGTGTCATTGGACTGCCTCTCTCTGCTTGTGCAGGGTGACTGGTCTTGTCTCCACCCCCTCCTGTAATAAAGACCAGTCAGTGGTGCTCTTTCCCCTTGTGCATGTTGACTGGTCTCGTCTCCGCCCCCTCCTGTAATAAAGACCACTCACTGCTGCTCTCACTCTCCTTCTGCTGGGTGACTGGTCTTGTCTCCGCCCCCTCCTGTAATAAAGACCGCTCACTGCTGCGCTCACTCTCCTGCAGGGTGACTGGTCTTGTCTCTGCCCCCTCTTGTAGTTTTCTGCAGGCAGCCTGTAGTGGGTGGTGCCTGCTGGGTCCCTCCCACAGCTCTGCTGTCTGTGCAGGCACAGCGATGATGTCACTGCTACTTTCACAAGGTAATATCTGGGCTTCCAAAGGCATATGGTGCACGCAAAGCGGATTTATATCCTTTGTGGCTATTAAGGAATATATGTAAATAAACATTTCTGTTCCCCAGAGTTCAGCTTTTTAAAGTGCCTCTCCCCCCTACAGGGACTTCATCCCACACTCCTTGCAGTGATATTCCTCTATAACAAAGCAGGGGAAGAATTTGCCGTGTTTGCAGATTACTCATGTGTGATCACAACACTCTGACAGCTCAGTGATGTCTGTGGGAGGAAAGTAAAAATCTATTAAACATGAATTAATAGACTCAAACATCCTGAACAGAAGACAGTTCCTGGAGTGGAAAGTCTAGAGAGGAGTCATCCACGCATATGCTGTGCCTGGGTGTGTGTGTGGGGGGCTCCGAACTTCCTGACAGTGTAGAAGACAGAAATCTGTCATAGTAAGGTGTATGTGTGTGTACTATGCACATCTACAACTCCATCTTGGCTGCTGCTTCCTCCATCAATGCTCCTTTACTGAGGGCCCTTTGAAATGTATGATGCGCTATGGTGCGTTGCAACACATGTGCATTGCCTTAGTGCATTGCGGTGCTATTTAAAATGAATGCCATCATAAGGCATCAATATATGTAATATGCAATGCAATAACCTGCAACAGTGTATAGGTGTAAATTGGCCCTTGAATGGTCATACCTGACATTACATCCAGGCACACTCAACTGCTGATCTGTAGTCTTACCCTCATTGGCTGTAGCTACCTTTCTTTTGCACCCCCACCACTCTCTTTGCCCAAGCTCTAAGCTCTATAAGCTCCAAGTCACTCTATTTGGAGCTTACCCAGGGCTGAAGACTCTCTCCCCCCTTCAGGTAACAGCACTGGTGCCTGGCGATTGGTCATTCAGAACCCAAGATTGGTCATTCAGAACCCAAAATTTGTCATTTATAACCCAAGATTGGTCAATCAGTACTCAACTGCTGATCTGCAGTCTTACCCTCATTGGCTGTAGCTACCTTTCCTTTGCTCCCTCTTTGCCCAAGCTCCAAGTGCTATAAGCTCCAAGTCACTCTATTTGGAGCTTACCCAGGGCTGAGGACTCTCTACCACCTCCTGGTTACAGCACTGGTGCCTGGCGATTGGTCATTCAGAACCCAAGATTGGTAATTTGGAACACAAGATTGGTCATTTAGAACCCAAGATTGATCATTCAGAACCCAAGATTGGTCAGGACTCAACTGCTGATCTGCAATCTCACCCTCATTGGCTGTAGTTACCTTTCCTTTGCTCCCCCGCGACTCTCTTTGCCCAAGCTCCAAGCTTTATAAGCTCCAAGTCACTCTGTTTGGGGCTTACCCAGGGCTGAGGACTCTCTCCTAGTAACGGTGCTGGTGTCTGGCGAGTGGTCATTCAAGCCAAGATTGGTCATTTGGAACCCAAGATTGGTCATTCAGAACCCAAGATTGGTAATTTGGAACCCAAGTCATTCAGGACTCAACTGCGGATCTGTAGTCTTACCCTCCTTGGTTGTAACTACCTTTCCTTTGCTACCAGGCCACTCTCTTTGCCCAAGCTCTATAAGCTTCAAGTCACTCTGGAGCTCACCCAAGGCTGAGGACTTTCTCCCACCTCCTGGTGACAGCGCTGGTACCTGGCGATTGGTCATTCAAGAACCATGATTAATCATTTAAAACCCAAGATTAGTCATTTGAAAGCCAAGATTGGTGAATAAGGACTCATCTGTTGATCTGCAGTCTTCCCCTCATTGGCTGTAGCTACCTTTCCTTTCCTCCCCTGCCACTCTCTTTGCCCAAGCTCTATAAGCTCCAAGTCACTCTGTTTGGAGCTTACCCAGGGCTGAGGACTCTCCCCCCTCCTGGTAACAGCACTGGTGCCTGCAGTCACATGCTCCTTATTCAGTATCACTTACAAGTTTCCATAAAACCCCAACCCTGTGACAGGATAGGGTAAGGAAAAGCAGCAGACTGACGAACCCATCTCTCTGTCACTCTGCTCTCACCTCTTATCAGCATGTGCTTTGCAATCCAACACACATGATTAACTCATGTGCTGCTTCTCCCTCCCTTCTCTGGGTTCTGCATGTCAGTGGTTTGCAAGATGCCAATACCAAGTTAAATTTGGGTACTCACACTGCTTGTGTTAGAACAAAACACATGAATGATCACAGAGCTGCATTCATTTGTATATTTTATATCTGCCGGAGTTCTGCTTTAAAGTCCTAGATGTACGCCATTCAATTCATGAATCATAATTGCCTGCTTGAGCTGTGTGATTGTTCACAGATCAGAGGGTTCTACAGGGAATTATCCTGATGACTCAACAATTGACCCAATTCAGCCATCTAGAAGTAAAGGATTAAAGTTGAAGTTCACTTTGCTTATATTTTGCCTTGTCTGGTTCCTTTCTCCACCCCCACCCTCACCCTCACCCTCACCCTCACCCTCACCCTCACCCTCATCCTATTTTCATTACATACCTTTTTTTAGACCCAGTCATCACTGGGTCTCTGAGCTGCTCTATGCAATCCAGGCACACAGGGCCGGTGCTGCCACTAGGCAAACTAAGCAGCCGCCTAGGGCTCACTGCTGCCTAGGGCTCACAACCCCCCGTCTATTTCAAATTGCTGGTCTTATAAATAGCTGGTCTTGCCTAGGGCGCAAAATAGTCTAGCACCGGCCCTGCAGGCACATCATAGCTGGTGGGAGGGGCCAGCAGGGTGCTGTACATAGCTTCCCAAAAACATAGAGGCACCCTGCTTCAGTACTCTTGATAAGAGCCCAAGCAGTGGGCTGGCTCTTGGGAGGAGTTATGCAAATATCAAAATGCCTGGATGGGTGTCAATCTGGAAGACTGGGTGTTTCTAGGTATTTGCATACAGACCACCCTAGGTAACACCCACATGGGATGCTGACCCCATGATTAACAGAACTGAAACCCAATGAATAAAAGGGGTGGAGCCAGGGACAGTAAGAATAGAGAAAAAAATCGAAATAGACATATGGGAAAAGTTTCACCAGCCAAACGGTTTGTATTTCTGTCCCTTTAGAGCTGAGATATACACAGCTCTGCCAAACCAGGGCACTGACCTCACCTTTCTCTATTACTATGTTAAGCAATACAGCTTGGTCACCTCCCCTCCCCCAGCCTGTGACTGCTGCTGTGCACATGAGCAGAGGTGTGACGTTTCAGTCTGCTGCTGTTCATGTTGTAAATGAGCAGCAGCAGACCGAAAAGTCATCCCCCTGCTAACTTAGCTTTCTGTCCAGCACATGTGCACAGCAGAACACCTGATTGGCTCCTAGTGTTCTACTGTTCGGAACACTAAGATACCAAGTCACAATCCGGTACTAGAGGCAGGGCCGGATTTACTCGCTCTGCTGCCCCAAGGCCAGGTTCCTCAATGCACACGCCTACCTGCCAAACCCCCACCATGGAGAATGGCAGACCTGCAGGCTGCATGCAAGTGATCTCGTCGACATCGCTGAGATCACTTTTACAAAACAAGCGGCGGCTTCCCCGAAAAATGTATAAATCAACTACCCGCCCGGCGCCCGGAACTGCATATCGGGAGATAGGAGTTCCACACCCCTGCTGCCCCAAGGCCAGGCCTTGGTTGGTCTTGTGAGAAATCCGGCCCAGACTAGAGGCATTTAAAAATACATCTAAGGGGTCTGCTTCATTGTAAGGGAATCTGCCTGGAAATGAGTTACATATTTGGCAAGTTCGGGAGCAGAGAATCATTTCAGAACTTCGGCCGCTCCCCCGGAAGGCGTCGCGATA